TCTTCAGTGGTAGATGGACCATGAGTTAGAATGTCCTCGTCGTCGGGCTAACTGTCGGAGGTTTACGTAGTTTTCCTCTTCGTGTAACGCAAATAAGGGTTAGATCCATTAACGAGTCCTCCACGTTGGCTAGTTTATCCCAATGCTTAATCCAGGAGTTAACTTATCTTCAGGATTAGGTTCAAAATTACAAGGCTACTGATTTGAATATTGATAGTCGTAAGCTCAGTATTGGGTCGACTGTTTAATGCCGGTTATAAAATAAAATTTAAAAAAATGGTTAAGCATCGCTGGCGTCAATGATAGCTGAAGTTTTTTGACATTTTTTTTCCCTTAGCCGAAAAGCTTCGTAAAATTAATTTGATTTTTGAATTGTAAAAAATAGTCTTTCAATTATATCCACGAATTTGACTATCAAGCATTAATTACTTATGTACTCTGTGGTTTAGTAAAATAAATATTGTTACAATTTATTGCGATGATATCATACTTCAAAGCAATTGTTCTTCAAAGCAATAATACTTCAAATCAATTGAAATTAAGTGTCAAGACAAACCATTAAGAAGAATTTTTTAAATTAGCAAAAAAGATGACTTTTTCTCTTATTTAGTTTTGGAATATTAAAAAAAATGCATTATAAAATATATAGCGGATATAATCGTGTGTGCTGATGACGAAATTACATCTTTTCACTACTAGATTTCAGAATTTTAATTACTTTATAACTTTTTCTTTTTTTTACAGTTTTTCTTTTAAAAATCCTTTTTTATTTCTTTCCGCATATATATATAGATAGATAGATTGATAGATAGATAGATGTATTTAGATTTGGTGCTTTGATATATTTTCATTGAAAGTCTGAATTAATTATTCAAATAATATAAACGCAATCTAAAGCACTCTCGTGTGCAACGGAATGACATTAGATGTAGCACTTTTAATCAAATTAGGTAAGGTATCGTGTTTGCTAATATAAGAAACGTTATTTGGGAAAACGCTGGTATAAATTCAGTACATTACTAAGAGAAGTAATGAGTGGAAATAAATGCATAAACATTTAAATTTTTATTTTTTTACCCATTTGCAAAATGGGTGTTGTATTTGGGTTTGATGGCGTGCGCACCTTATTTGGACGTCATCACACTTTTCAATTGTGTTCAAGAGTAATAGTAAACAGTGCGCATGCGTCGTCATTGCATGCGTTGCTATGGCGACCGCTACTGTTTGATAATCTTTCTATGTTCTTTTCAAGATTCACTTATTCATAATTACTGTGGAGTCTCGCAGTGGACTGATCGCTAAGACACGGTTCCCATCAGATCACCGAAGTCAAGCATCACTGGCTGTGGTCAGTGTGTGGGTAGATGACCACTTGGATCAGTCTGCGTAGGGACCGAGGGTGTGCGGTATTGGTCCTCGTTAAACTGTGCTACCGTAAAGTGCTCGACTTCGCTTGCAGGTCGTCGTGCTACCGAAGCGGGGGTGCCATTCCCTCCGCAGAGGATCAAAATTGTGATGGCATGTCTTCGGATCATCCTCCGGGATGTTTCCCAGACCGTCGCCAATAGCCCATTGTGCAGCTCTAGTGCGACGTAAATGAACAACAACCGCATAATTACTGAGGTGGCGATTTTAATATAAATATGAATACTAAAGATGGAAAAGACTGTCGTGACGTCTTAAGAAACGTATATTAATTGGAATTGATGACCAATCCAGCCCATTCGATAACAAGTCAAAAATCAATTAATGCAGTGTCTGAAAATGTGGAGTTTATGTTAGACTGGCGCAGAGAGGGGAAAAAAACACATTAGACCAATGGGTAACCAGTGATTGCAATAAAGCGTTCACAATTATTTTTTTTTTATTATTATTTTTTTTAGGAAAGAGTTAACCATTATTTTACTATAAAGATTACATATATTTATGGCAATGAAAAAGAGAAGGAAAAAAAAGGACAATCAAATTTTCATTAATTTCTTTTATGATAATATTGCATGATCTGATGGTTGCGGGTTCGAATCCCGCTCAGGGCATGGATGTTTCTTTCTCTCTCTCTCTGTGTTCTATGTCCTTTCTTCTGTGTGAATGTAACCCGCCCTATGAACGGGTTTGTGGTTGTATAACGTGGGTGACGCTGCTCCACCGCCGTGGCTTAGCCATAGGTGCTCACTGGGTACGATAAGAGAGTAGCAATTCTGGCATTTCTGAGGCCAATGGGAAATAGATCCAAGTGCCCGCCATTAATCAAAAAAATAAAAAATCATTGCATGATCTTCACACTTTCTTTTTCACCACAAAATAATTTTTTTTTTTCCAAAAATGTGTTTAGATTGATGAAGTGCGCAACCAATACATATTTAAAGTGTCGTCTAATAAGGAAAACTGACTTGCACTTATCGTCATTCTGTGTATCTTATGAATATTTAAAATGCTAGCTAATTAAGAAAAGAGACCCAAATTTCGACAACTCTCCTATTTAAATTGGGCCATAATTTCCAGATACCTGCTACTTCCCTCCCTTCTGCCTATGTCTTTTGAGAATTTAGAAAACAAATCTGTCGAGAAAAAAAATTTATATTTATTCTGAGGAAGAACGTTTTGGTCCTGGTCAGATTTGATATCTTAAAATATCATCTGCTCAAGTTAATTAGCATATTTAAAGTCAATCCCTCTAATCACAATAATCACATCTTTGTACGTGATTAAGTTAATTAGCATATTTAAAGTCAAATCCCTCTAATTATTAAAATCACATCTTGGTAGGTGATTAACCCTCATGATCTTCAGTTTAAATTTATTGAGATGTTCCGTTTTTATGTTGCATATTATACGTTCTTAAAATAATAACTTCGACATTCTCTGAAATATACTAGAAAACAGGTTAGCTAAATACTACAACCATGAAAAAAAGTGATTCCCTGAGATAATTTGTCGGCTCATTATAATCATCTCAACTACAGAGCGTTATCTATATCAGGAGATAAAAAAGTTGTCGGAGTTTTTGAATAAAATCATTTATTTATTTATTTTTTAATTTTTGTGTTAAATTGGTTGGCAGAAAATAAAATCTATTTGATCACTATTATCTCGTGATTTTATGGGGGATAAAATGACGGTTTATTTGTATTAAATTTCTGTTCAGTTTTTTTTTTTTTTTTTTTTTTTTTTTTTTTTTTTTTTTTTTTTTTTTTACAATACTTTATGTGAAATTAAAACGTTGCAATAATAAAAGAAAGATAAAACTGCTGTTGCCGTGTTTGCCATGGAATCTACTTTTATAAACTTTTGCTTTAGAAAAATTAAAATTATTCTTCAAAGTTAGTTATATTTAGGGTATACCGACTAATGTATATCAGGCAATGGTATTTAACCTTAAAAAAAAACAGTGCAGGGTAAACTTGTAATGTCACTCCCATCCCTTATATAATTCTATTATTGTAAATAATAAACATTGATTATTAATAATTGCGATAATTAATAATTCCATACACTATTATCCTTAATCTTTTGTAATAGTAATACATAATAGATTTTAAAGCAAAAAATAATTTTTTTAAAAATGATGAATTAGTTTAATGGCGTTGTTGAAGAACTGTGAAGACAGTATAACAAAGTAAATAAGTATTTGCATTAAAAATTTAAAATTAGTCTTTACATTTATTTGACACAATTAATAGGTAATTAAAATGAATTTTAGCTCGCCAACCGAATTATTTAATTTTTAAGCCTTTTTATGAATAAAATTTACCAGTCATATTTTCAATCATACGCGAGTTTTTTACAAGAGCGAGAGAACGGCACCTATAACCCTGAGCCTCAAAATGTTGAAATAGTTTGACGATTAAAGCTCTAAGCTTGTTTATTAAGGCAATCATTATTTTCAATAGCTGTCTTTGAACAAATGTAAAATATAAATAAAAATGAAAAAAAACTAGCGCATGTTGAACAATGCACCTTGGCCTCAAAATAGATGCAATAGACAAACATATAGCTAAATTAAATATCAAATTCCACGAAAAAGCCACCTCTTGCTCTATAGAAAATTTCAGTTAAATATTTCTAATTGAAAATTTAACTGAAGACAAGAAAATTTAACCGAAGCAGCATAACTATTGCAGTGATGCATCATATTCCCGACATCAATAGCATATACATAACCTCATTTTCATCATATCTGCTTAGCTAAAGTTCATACTTCTACAATGTAGTCTTATCACACTACTGCACGTAATTACACAGTCACAACCTCAATGATCCACATGAATACTCCTTTACTTTATTTGCATTCCACAACCTCAACGAAGCACCACACAGACCAAGCTCAAGATGAATGGGAAAACAAGTGGCCTCAGGTGCCCAGTTATTTTATACAGTTTACAGCAGTGGTCCGCAACCCCCGGTCCGCGGACCGGTACCGGTCCGTGGATCAAATGGTACCGGTCCGCCCATTTCATTGAAACTGAATTTAAATTCCTAGGTTTATACCCCAAATTAAAAATATCTGTGTTCCATTAAAATTTTATTTATTTAAAAAAAATATGCCCCCGAAGGTAGTAACATAATTTTTTTAATGTTTTAAAAAAGAAAAAAAAAAGAAATCGTCTGCAACTATTTTCTCATTCAATTAGTTTTAATAAAAAAAAACAATCATCGTAACTGTAAATATCATAAATAAAAAACGAAAGCGCGACGCGACATTTGCATTGGAACTAATAAAGAACTTCGTCTTCTCTCTCGATTCTGACGCCTCACACAGCGAGAGTGTATAGTAAGGCTATAAAAGAGAAGCTGGCTCGTCTGCCATTTAGTCGCCCAAAGACCACGTGACCATGATTCCTCTCTACTGTTTTGTGTGCTTTATGCGGATTTGTTTGTTTTTTGTAAAAAGAAAGTGTCTATCACTCCTCTCTCTGTTCACCGGTACTTTCTCAGGTTTAACAGTGCTTGGTGTACGTGTGTATTGTGTCTGCACAAATTTAACTCACAAGTTAGCAAACATGAATACAAAACAGACGTCCTTAGAAAGTTTCCTTGGAAAAAAGAAAAGGCTCAGTGAAGAGACCGAAGAGCCTTCAACATCAAAGAAACATGCAACTTTTAACAGACAATACCATGAGTCCTACTTGAAGTATGGTTTTGTCGGGACAGGCGATTCACACAAACCAAAACCGCTCTGCATAGTTTGCGGCGATCAACTCTCTAATGACGCAATGAAACCTTCAAAACTGCTTCGCCACTTGAACGCCAAGCACCCTGGATTAAAAGACAAGTCCCTGGAGTATTTTGAAAGAAAAAAACGGGAACACGAAGGACAGAAAAAATTTATGATGGCCACCACATCAATAAAGGAGAGTGCACTAAGAGCATCATATTTGGTGGCTAACCGCATTGCTAAAGCTAAAAAGCCATTCAATATTGGTGAAGAATTAATCTTGCCCGCCACTAAAGACATTTGCCGTGAAATACTAGGAGAAGCTGCTGTGGAAAAGATAGCACATGTGCCTTTGTCGGCTAGCACTGTGACTAGGCGCATTGAGGAAATAGCCGAAGACATTGAAAAGCAATTGTTGGAGAGGATTAATGCATCACCGTGGTACGCACTCCAGGTTGACGAATCTACAGATATTGACAGCAAGGCAGTACTACTTGTTTATGTGCGATATCTATATCAGGAAGATGTGCATGAGGATTTGTTATGTGCACTATCTTTGCCAACCAACACCACAGGAGCAGAACTGTTCAAGTCACTGGATGGTTATATATCAAGACAACTAAAATGGTCCTTTTGTGTAGGCATATGCACAGACGGAGCTGCTGCTATGACCGGACGTCTATCTGGTTTAACTGCTCGGATTAAGGAAGTTGCACCTGAGAGTGAAGCTACACATTGTCTCATTCACAGGGAAGTGCTAGCAAGCCGAAAAATGTCACCAGAATTTAACAGCGTATTGATTGATGTCGTTAAAGTTATTAACTACATCAAAGCACACGCCCTTAACTCGCGCCTGTTTGAGCAGCTTTGTGAGGAGATGGACGCAGAGTACAGATGCCTTCTGTTATACACAGAAATAAGATGGTTATCCAGAGGAAAATCGCTACTGAGAGTATTTGAATTGCGAGAGCCATTGCAAAGATTTCTCTTAGAAAAGAAGTCACCGCTGGCAGCACATTTCAGTGACAAGGTATGGGTCACCAAACTGGCTTACCTGTGTGACATATTCAACCTGCTGAATGAACTCAATCTGTGCCTTCAGGGGAAAATGACAACTGTTTTCAAGTTGGCTGACAAAGTAGCTGCCTTTAAAGCCAAACTGGAGTTATGGGGACGACGCGTGAACAGAGGCATTTTCGACATGTTTCAGACATTAGCGGGTATTTTAGGCGAGACAGAGCCTGAAGATTCATTCTCCCAGTTGGTTCACGATCACCTGTCTTTGCTTTTAAAAGAGTTCGAGCGCTACTTCCCAACCACAAAAGACCCACGAACTGGTAAGGAATGGATCCGCGACCCATTTGCCAACAAATCGGGTGAATCTAGCTTGTCAATGCAAGAAGAAGATCAACTGTTGGAGATTGCAAATGACGGCGGCCTTAAGACTACGTTCGAAACAACAACTCTGCCGGTGTTCTGGATTAAAGTCTTGGCAGAATACCCCGAGATTGCCACCACAGCACTTAAATCCCTATTGCCATTTCCGACAACCTATCTGTGTGAAGCGGGATTTTCTGCAGTAACAGCAACCAAAACAAAGCAACGGAATAAACTGGAGATAAGCAACACACTTCGGGTGTCATTGTCTCCGATTACCCCCAGATGGAGCCGTCTTATTGCAAAGAAACAAGCTCAGGGTTCTCATTGATGTAACGTTCAAGTAAGTTAAAATGTTAAATCACTTTATTTTTTGGTGTAACTGTATTTTATTTTAAAGGTAAGTTTAAATACAATTAAATTAAAATTATAAAATCAAAATAATCAAAAAAATAAACAATCAATGCCCCCCCCCCCTTTAGTGGACCGTGGTAAAATTATCAAACGTTGACAGGTCCGCGGTGATAAAAAGGTTGGGGAACACTGGTTTACAGTACATGTTGAGTTTAATTGAGTTTTGCGAGGATAGTGAAAATTAGTTTGTTGTATATTTATTTTCATCCTCTGAGGTTTAGTGGATTAAACTTATTGGTTTATTTTTGCTTTTCAAGTATATGTTGCAGTAAAACCTGATCTTTTTAACTTGGGTAGCACCCACCTTAGCGGTTTGAATTATTGTTGACGACTTTAACGTAAGTATAGTTTTTGGTTTAATATAATCCTTTATCTTTCCTCAACATGAGGGAAGATGAAATGGATTTTAATTCTAATTTCTGTTCATCACGAACTACTAGAGTGTCAACTTCTACACAACTCGAATTTGAGGATACTGTTTCTGAACAATTGGAATATGCGACAGCTGGTGGTTCGTTTACATATGCGATTTCTTTTGCTCCTACTGGATAAAACTCTTTTCCTCAGAAGCCTATCTTCCTAAAAGACAATCCAAATGAAGTAGTAGTTCACCTGGAAATATTATTTCATGTGTGCACACCCGCCAAGGTAAACTCTTAATCTAAACGGTCAACTATGGGACTGCTCTCGAAATCTGTAAAATAACCAACATTATGGGAAATCCCACTCATTCTTATGTTCTTCCCAAATATATCACCTCCAGATTTTTGTCTCAGGAAATACCGATTGATCACTTTGCATCTGAACTCTCGTACAACAACTTATTAGTCCACAGCATTTACAGATTTACAAATAAGGAATCATCAGCCTTGTCTAAGATCTACCTAATTACAATTTAGGGCACATCAGCTCCAACTAAACTCAAATTCTGGTATAACCTCGAGCGTACTTCCCTTTTTTTGTGATCGTCCGCGTCAGTGTTCTAAAGGCTTCGAATTTAGCCACTCACTAAAAAAATTTCTATCTAAATACCAACACAGCTCATACTGTGGTGATCAACACACCGACTCGGAATGTGATAATTAACTCCCACATTGTTCTAATTGTCATCCAGTCAATACTTTGACATGCCCATCTCGGACGGAAGAAGAGTTTCTTAGAATTAAAAAACAAGTACCATCTATTATTCACAGAAGCCTGATGATAGTTTAAGTCAACGAATTCCCCCTCCACTTATGCGACCATATCTAAATCTGACCACGTCACTGAAGTCGAAGACATTAAGTCTATCGTCAAGAGCGTCTTATCTGAGGTAGTCACATTCTTTGACGCTAAATTATAAGTTCTCGCTCAACGCCAGAATATCCCTTTTTAAAAGTTATTTACAGTCATTGACAACCTAATCTCCCGTCTAGACACTTCGTCATCCGAGCCATACTTTTCAAGGAAAAAAATTCCGTCCCTTGAGCGATCAAAACAATCATCTACCTATTCTAACTTTTCCCAAACCTGTTCCTTCTCTTCCAGCTAATTCTGTCACTGAACCAATACCTTAGAATAACATATCTTCATCCACCTACACATCGAAACACCCACAAAATGTTATTTCATCGTCTCACCACAAACACATAGTGCTCCTGGACATACTGCTACAATTAACCACCAATAAAAACCTACAATCTCGTTCAAACGTTTTGATCAGTGACATCATGAAGTTGAACAAACATCACGTTAAGAATTCTAAAAGCTTATAACTTCACTAATATCTACACTCTGCTTTAATTCAAATCGTACAAATAATATCTTGGCATTGTAGAAGCATTATAAAAAGTTAGCCATCCAACTCACAATTTTCAGCATGTCAATAAATATTACTTCTTGGAACTGCTGCAGTATAAGAAAAAAACTCCAATGGTTGAAATTAAATTATTTCTCCCAATCTCAAATAATAGCTCTTCAAGAGACATTTTTAACTCCATCAGACACTTTCCAAGTTTCCACTAAAATAATATTCCGCTAGGATCGAACTAGTGGCCGTGGGGGGCGAGTAAGTTATTGCAGTTAACCGTGATGTTCATCGAAAGTCGTACCCTTACCAAATCTATGCCCCTCAGTGAACTGGTCGTAAAAACACGGTTCCCAGTAGAACACCGAAGTCAAGCATCACTGGCTGCGGTCAGTAAGTGGGTGGGTGACCGCTTTGATCAGACAGAGTTGAGACCGAGGGTGCACGGTATCGGTCCCCGTAAAATTGTTCTACCGCAAGTTCTAGATTTCGCACGCAGGTCATCGAACTACTAAAGTGGGGGAGCTGTTCCCTTGCAGAGGATCAAAATTGCGATGGCATGTCCGGATCATCCTCAGGGGTGCTTCCAAGACAGTCGCCAATAGCCCATTGTGCATCTCTAGTGCAACGTAAATAAAGTACCTATCTACCAAATCTACCACCAGCAGACAAGTAAATGTTCGCGGTTCAGATTGCTACGCCTGACTACCCCTTCTCACTTGTGAACCTTTCTGCTTCTAAGGGCCAATATTCTGCAGACTGGTCGCAATCTCTTAGACGATCGCTAACTAACCCATTCTTCTTAGTAGGAGACTTTAATCTACACCACGCTGCTTCAGTAGCCTTTTCAACATCATGAAATGAAGAAAAGTTTCTCGAGTGGCTTATAAGGCACAATATTGCCTGCTGTTGTTGCTAATTTACGTCGCCCTAGAGCTGCACAATGGGCTATTGGCGACGGTCTGGGAAACATCCCTGAGGATGATCCGAAGACATGCCATCACAATTTTGATCCTCTGCAGAGGGGACAATATTGCCTGCTGCTAAATACAAAGATCCCAACATGCTTCAAGCCAGGGCGCCAATCCTCGCTTTTAGATCTTATAATTTCATCAACTGACCTTTTTTCAAAAACGCCTCTGACAGATTTAAAAGCGATCACCCGCCTGCGAGTATTTCTCTTGCAATCTTCAATAGTAACCCTTCCTCAAGTAAACAAACTCAAGTTCATTGGAACCACCTAATTCCCGACTTCGATGAGTCTATCCTTGCGGAAAATAACTTCTCCACGTAAAGTCTTGAATTAATATATACCAGCAAAAACTAAAGAAATATAGCTCATATAGACCAACTTACAACCCACGTTTTCCGCCCTCCTGGAATAGTCAATGCTCCTTTTTATTCGGTAAAAAACGCAAATATTTAAGAATTGCACGCCCAACTCTAAAATCTAGAATTGTGGAAAACATATTTAAAAAAACTGCAGCTGAGTTGCGGAAGGCAATCCACGCAGCCCATAGGCAATACTGGAATTAAATCTGCATTAACGCTTGGCAATCTAAATCCTTCGTTCAATATTAATCGTGACAAAATACTTCTTTTAATATTAAATCGTTCTGAGTTCCTTCATGCACCCTCCACTTCAAAAAATAATCACAGTGAACAACATAGAACGTCATTGTGCCTTGGCACAAGCAAATGCATTTGCAGTCTTCTACTCTAAAACACCTACCAAAAACCGTCTTCCCCTGGACTTCAGTTGAGCAGCCCAGGAATTCAATCAACTCTTCACTTTACAAAAACTTCGCTGTGTGCTCTCATCCTTCAATCGTAAATCACCAGGACAGGATAAAATTCCTTTAAAGGTGCTGCACTCTCTCTGCGAAGCAGCCCTACAGAAACTACTGGATTAGTTTAACTCTATCTGGGTTTCTGGACAAATCCCAGAGTCCTGAAAACTAGCGCACGTCATCCCTGTCCAGAAAAAGATAAATCTACGGATCTTGTATCATCTTATAGACCTATATAGCTAAGATCAACTTAAGTAAAACTCTCGAACGTATGCTTCTAAAACGGCTCACTGATTTTTCACAAAGGACTAGAGTCTTCCACCCCTGTCACTGCAGATCCCTCTTGTCTAAAAGGGTAAATCCAGTACTCGCCATCCTTCATCACGAAGTCCTTCGGGCTCGATACAAAAAGAAATTTGGGATTTGCTACTCACTTGACATTCACGCAGCATAGCATACGAAAATATCAACCAGAAAGCCTTAATTCTCAAACTCTTAAAATCCGGTATTACTGACAGAGCTGCCCTTTTCGTCCACAATTTTGTCAAACACAGAAAGATAGCTGTGCGGTGGTGGAATACGCTATCAGCTAATTGTCCATGAACAGAGGCGTTCCGCAAAGGTCAGTTCTTTCCACTTCATGATTTACGTATCTGACCTCCATCTTATTCGCCCTGGTGACATATTATGTCTTATATTTGGGGTCGATACCTACCTTATTGCAGGAAGTGAAGCTATTTACGAAGTGAAACATAAGATGCAATTTTTCCCCCACCAAATTCATAAATGGTGTAAGGATTGAGACCTTGAAATTGTCCCAGAAAAAGTGCTGCCATTAATTTTTCTAGAAGACGGATTGCTGAAAATTTCAGTCTCATTGTTTTTAACAAACCAATCCCCTGAGTTCAAAACCTTCGGATTCTCGGTCTACCTTTCTCTAGCAACATAACCTTCCACCATCATTTCAGAATATTAAAAACTGAAAATACTAAACTGCATCGCTACCACACGCAAAGGTGCTCAACCAGATCACCTACTCTGAATTGTAAACTCATGCATCCGAAGTGTCCTCGAGTTGGTAGCCACAACTTTTCTTTCTCAAACGTACGAACCCTCGGCGTATAATAATATAATGCTGCACTACGTGTAGCAACAGGCTTGCCTCAATGGACACCCATTCCACTCCTTCTCAAAGAAGCGGGAGTGAGTACATTAGCTTCACGACATAAATGGCTTTCAACAAAATTCTATTTTTGCCACATCTCCCTGATATTTGGTCAATTTAGGAATTGGTA